GTATGGGTAGCCATATAACGCTTGCACGGAGTCATGCCAATACTTACTTGGTAGCTATTATTATAGGCGAACTCTATTAAGGATAAATGACCATCTGAATGGCCCCCCGAAGTCAAGAACATAAAATTGGAGCATCTCCTCCACTATGCGGATCATCCTTTTTTATTATCCATCGGTCTTAGAGTGGATGCGATACTAAGAGACAGTTTCATTCCCATGACTTGCTGAAAACTAGACTAAAATCGAGAAGTGAACTTGGGATCCCTGCCGGATACTACTATTACTGGCACTCTATGTAACCTGACTATCTCCTGAAGATATATTCTTTCTACCTTGTATAAGGGGTTGGTCATCTTGATGGTCAAGAAGTGGGAAGACTTAGTGAGCCGGTCAATAATTATCCAAATGGCGTCATGTCTTGAGCGTGCCCTAGGCAATCCTGTCATGAAATCCATTGTGATGTGTTCCCACTTCCACTTCGGAATCAGTAGTGGCTGAAATAACTCTCTTGGGCGTTGATGCTCTGCTTTGACTTGCTGACACACCAGACACTTGGAAATAAAGTCGGCCACCTCTCTTTTTATTCCGTTCCACTAAAACCTGGGTCGCATAATTTAATACATCTTAATGCTTCTTGGATGTATGACAAATTTTGAGGTATGAGCCTCTATCATGATGTCTATTTTCAGCTCACTGTTACATGGAATATACACCATACCCTAAAATCTGAGCAATCCATCGACAAAGACTCGAAATTCTGAATTTACTCAATGTTCTGCATCTTTCCTAAGGTCTGCTAGGATGGAATCGGCAGATTGGGCTTCATTCAATCTATAGATTAACTTAGGTTGAACGGCCAGGTGGGCCAAACATGTAAATCTCTTCAGGTCCTGAAGTCATATCTGTTGTGCGGCCTCTATTACACTGCATTCTAAAACCATTAGATCAACTAATATACCCACACTTTTTCTGCTGAGTATGTCGGTTACCACGTTACCCTTGCCAGGTGATATAAGATATTGCAATCGTAGCATTTGAGGAGTTCTATCGATTATTTCTGACGCATGTTGAGATTCTTTTGAGTGAGTATGTATGTCAAGCTCTTATAGTTGGTATAGATATGAAAAGTCTCTCCATACAAGTAATAACGTCAAGTCTTCAATGCATGAATAATCGTGATAAATTTTAAGTTATCGGTGGGGTAGTTTTTCTCATGACTCTTCAACTACTTGGATTATAGGTTATA